AGCAAGGGAAAGGTTCCCGGGTGGGGGTATGATACATGTACAACTATACAGGGATCATATGATAAGTCATTATTCAAGACTTACCATAAATTATGGAGACCAAGAGATCCAAATATGCAACGAGGTCCAATCAAAAGTAATTGCAAGGGAAATGTCGATATCATCTTTACTTATGGGAAGACCATTACTTTAACAAATGTACTTCATATTCCCGACATGAATAGAAATCTAGTGAATGGAAATCTCTTGGGAAAATCGGGTATTAAAAGTGTCTTTGAGTTCGGTAAACTTGTATTATCCCTAAATAGGAAATTTGTTGAAAAAGCTATTCTAGTGAAAGAATTGTCAAATTGTGTACCAATGACAAATCTTTGATTAATAAAGTTAATTTTGCTTATGTCGTTGATTTATTTTCATTATAGCATGCTACATTAGATCACATTGTTAAAAGTACAATGCATAGAATGACGAAATGTGATTTAATTTCATATGATGTAAATGATGAATTTAAATACAAAATATGTGTAAAAGCTAAAATGACTAAAAAATCATATCAAAGTGTAAAACGGACCTCTAGCATATTAGAATTAATTCATTCCGACATTTGTGAATTAAATGGAATGCTAACTAGAGGTGAAAAGAGGTATTTTATTACCTTCATTGATTATTGCACTAGATATTCGTATGCCTATCTTATGATGCATAAATATGAGGCCTTTGATATGTTTAAAATTTATAAAAGTGAAGTTGAAAATCACTTAGAAAAGAAAATTAAAAATCTTAAAAAAGTGATAGAGGTGGAGAAAACTTCTCTAGTGATTTTAATATGTTTTGTGATCAATTTGGCATTATTCACCAAAGTTTTGCACCTAGGACACCCAAACAAAAAACTTTTGGCTGAAAGGAAAAATAGATTCTTAGTTCAAATGATTAATGCTATGTTTACATATGCTAAGTTGCCATTTAACTTGTGGTGTGAAGCTTTATTGAGTGCATGTAGGATATTAAATATAATTCATTCGAAATTTACTAAAGTTTCTCCTTATGAATTGTGGAAATGGAGAAAACTGAACATTTGATACTTCAAAGTGTGGGAATCTCTTTGCTTATTGCAAGAACACGAACCTTAACATGACCAAGTTGGGTCTAAGAGACATTAAATGTGCATTTGTGGGATATGCTAATAATAGCAAATCTTACAG